TTTTTTCATTGTCCAATCAGCTGCTAACATTAACACTCGCCTTTCGCACCACGCTTCATTAATAATGTCAACTTTTCATGTCAGTAAAAGCCTATTGGGTTTACATGATAAACAAAATAATTCATGAATGCTTGTTGATATGGAATTTCTCGTGACAATTGAAGAGAAATTTCACATCTATGCCCGCCCGTGTATTTTTATCTCATTTATTTCACTCCCAAAATACTAAGATCTAGCAAGAGAATATCATCTGAATATCAGAGGATATTCTCTTGGATCTTAAGAGATTTTAAAGAATCGATGTTGATAAGAGATATCGCAAGTTAATAACTTCTGAAATCTAGACGCTTTAGAAGGCTGTGGCCAGTTAAACATTTCATAATCACAGTTACTGTTTTTTAGTTAGATTTGTGCATATAAATTGCTGAGAACGGGGGAAAGACTGAGCTAAATTTCTAATGAATAATTAATAAGCTATTAACTGACAAATCCTTTTATTTTTAATTGAAAACCAACATTTTAACCCTCCTATCTAGACCGTATAATTAGGCTAGCGATGAAATATATTTACCTATAAAATGGTCGAGTAACAAAACCTTTTATACGAATAAAATCTGTTCGTTACCTCAAATCACATTCGAGTTTTTGTATAAATAGTATATCCTTAATGAGACGTTTTCTTCTTTCATGCAAGCACGTGAAATTGTCGAAAAAGCGCTCTTAAATCTCACAACCACTTTTTAACTGGTAATGTTTGTGAAGCGAACACAAAAGAAAATCTTCTCTTTTTGCAAACACAAGTCTACAATGGGAAGGGAGAAGTGCTTGTATTTTTTTTTTTGAAAACGAAATATTCATTCTGTTTCCCGTGACCGTTACTGATAATTTTTCTATGAATAACTCAACCAATAAAGAAAATTTATAAACATTTTAGTTTGAATCAAATTAACCAATAGTAGAATTCTAAATAGTCGTCGTCCCAAACTGGCAAGTTATGGTAAATGCTAATGAATAAAGGCTGATAGTTTTTAAAGAAACTGTTTGAGGCTGCGTCGGGGGGGGTAACGAAATAATTTGAATATATCAACAAAGTTGAAATGGTAAATTGGCCACCATTACGATTATAAAAGCTGACGTTTCGAGCGTTAGCCCTTCGTCGTTAGCCTACTAAGGACTAACGCTCGAAACGTCAGCTTTTATAATCGTAACGGTGGCCAATTTACCATTTCAACTTTGTTGATATATTCAAATTATTATGGTAAATGCTGTTGTTTTCTTTTACACAGAAACAGAATGTAGATTGGTTATACAGAAATCTTGGCGCAAAAGGCCTAGTTGAAAATCATATTACCCACCGTAACCGAGGCCATACACCAACAACACTGCGAGAACAATCACCAGTACCAGCCCTCTATTTGAGCGTAAAATATTTCTGTTCAACATTTTGGTCGACCAGGCTCATGGCTGGACACCTCAGGTGGAAACCTTAAAAATCTCTGATGGGCTGCCTGTTCTGTTTCTAAGTCAGTCAATTCATTTCCTGTGCGGGCTCAGTTCCCTGAACTTGTGTCCACCAATCAACTCTTTCATTAAATAACTCTCAAAATCCAAGATCTAATCAGAAATTCTCCCTCCTAATTGCCACATATTACATTTGAAATAATTGAGAGAATTTGAAATTCCCTCAACCGAGATGTTGACGTTTTTTATTCTTTCATTGTTGATCAGCCTGAAAGGTCCACTGAAGTAAGGTTTACTAATGAACATCGAGAAGAACGAGAAAAAATATCGAAGACCTCTACCTTGAGGCTGAGCTAAATGTTTTTACCACAATTGGCAGTAATGTCCCAATCTAATTGCTCAATTTTCCGTTGTCGATAAGAGAACAGACAACACTGCTCGCGTCTCGTCAAAGTGGAACGCACTGAAAGAATCTTTTATTTGATGTTGATATGGTGGTAGAAAAAACGACAGCTGTTTAGATTACTCCGTGGTTTTGCGGACTAACTCGGCCGCGCTTCGTGTATCCACAGCATTTCGACCATTGTGATGACGAATACAGACCGCGCTAAACCACTGTCGATTTCTCAGTTAAAAGGACATTTAATAAGTTGTCAGCTATCTAGACCCTATAACTGAGCTTAACCTAACAGTATGAACATTTTACAAACAAAATTGCAGGGTAGGGTAAAGCCCAGTGCTAGGGTGTAGCACGAATAGAATTTGTTTACAAGTTCAGCTCATGTTAAAGTTTTTGTGTGAATTGTATAGGTTACTAAGGCAGTCTTTTTCCTTCTTTCTGCCAACTCGTGAAAGCGATCTAATAGGTGCCGGTGCCGGTATCTGACAACTACGTTGCAACTGGTAATGTTTGTACAGTAGATATTCAAGAAAATCGTCCTCCATGGCCATTTATTAAAAAGAACCAGCTCCGCCATACAGTCTAGCCTCATAAAATGACGCTACGATGACTTCGAACTTGTGGAAAAAATCGCTCTTTAAAGATTCTCGCTTTTGGAACGCTTGAGCAATCGCAATTAAATAAGGAAGGTGGAGGGGAATGATCCTCATTGTTTTTTTTTGTTTTTTTTGTTTTTGTTTTTTGTGTGTGTGTGTGTGTGTGTGTGTGTGTGTGTGTGTGTATCATGAAATGAACGAAACCAAGGTTTTACGCAATCAGTGACCCTCAGGCTTTCTCCACAAGAGGGTTGATTTCAGGAAATAAATATCCTTCCACTGTTAGCTTTCAGCCCTCTTGATACTGTTCACAAAATTAGATCTTCAGATGAAAGATCTAGCTAAATTGAGGAAGGCATCCTATGGTCTTCGACATTGTTTTCCTCTACTCAAATTAACTGAATGGTAAACACCACAGCGTAGACTATTGAGTTATGGATGCACGCGAGAAGTTGCTAAACACGAATGAAGCTTCTTTACGTTAGTAGCGTACACCCTTGGGCAAATGGCGGACACTGGACTGAACAGAGCCGTGGTCTCAAAGGCATCCTATGATTTTCGACATTGTTTTCCCCTACTCAACTTAATAAATGGTAAACACCACAGCGTAGACTATTGAGTTATGGATGCAGGCGGGAGGTTGCTAAACACGAAAGAAGCTACTTCACTTCAGTAGTGTACACCCTTGGGCAAATGGCGGACACTGAATTGACCAATCAGAGCGCACTTTTTACTTTGGTTACTTTATAAAACTTTATGCATGATGTAAGGGGTTGTAGAGAGATCTTTCCGCGAAAAAGCCTAGTTACAAATTATGCCACCCACCGTAGCCGATGCTATACACCAACAATACTGTGAGAACAGCCACCAGGGCTAGCTTTCGATTTGAGCTCATGCCCACTCGCTTCTCTTGTCTCAAAGGGGTGGACGGCGTTCAAGAGTGAACAACTCGAAAATCCTTATGTCAATCAATTCATCTCCGCAGCGCACTTCCCTGAACTTCCGTTCACCACTCAAAATAGCCTGGGTAAAGATCGAAGTTTGCATACGGACCTAGGTAAGTAAGCAAGTAAGTTAACTTAGTATTTTATTTAACAACGCAACATTTAGGAGCATCTGCGCTCGTTAAAACATGTGCCTGAACATAAAACAATATAAGATATTAAAAAAAAGACAAAACAGATCCAGCGACGGCAATGCCGTAATATTCAAGCAAGTCTTTTAAGTGTCTGGGACCAGTTCCAGAGCGGCGAAATATTGGAAAACCGCCTCCTCAAAATAGTTTCGCATCCTATCGCTTTCCGATTTTGAAAATTGACATGATTAGCTTCTATAAAATTTCAGTTAAGTTAGGTAAAGTTGAGTTGAATTATTACTTTTCTTAACACCTTCCGTGCCACACCCCATTGTAGCCACCAAGTGGCGGCCATATTGAATTTTTTATGAAATTCAAATTTGACGAAAAGACAACAATTTCATCATCAGATCTGTAAACATTATGTACAGTTACAAATATTTGTAAAAAGTCGTCAGGTCTCTTTTTCAGAGCGATATGCCTCTCTAAAACATGTCACTGTGTGATACATCCTAAAACAAAGAGCATATAACTTTCGGAGATAAGTGGTCAGCGGTTTTTTGCTAAAGAAGCAGTTAATCCTTGACCACCATAATGAACTGTCTCTTTCTCGAGATCAACGACCACGCTTTGCAGAAGAAGTGTACATTCATGACGTATACATACGTCGTGGATCGTTCAGTCACGCAAATCATGACGCATATACGTATTAAGCTTACAAGGTCCTTGGATTTCGTGCACGATATCTTTTGACACAGTTTCTGCAGTATAGTTGCATTTAGGTTAAGGTTGAGTTAAGTTTAGGATAATTATAGGGTTTTTATGATATTGTGGTACCAAATTAACGAAGTAATATAAAAATTAATTAAGTAAATATGAACGAAGACTCTATAGGGTTTCTATGATACTGTAGTTGAAGTTGTATTACGGAAAAAGGGTTAACAAAACACAAATTCGTGTCTTTATACGTGTCATTTATAAATACTTAGTTTTGGTTCGGTTTCTATTCCTTATTTCTCTGACAAACTCTCGTGAACAGGGATCATGTGCGACCATCCATGCAAAATTAATATCACTGCTATATTGCAAACGAAGTACGGGGACAATAACAGGCGAGAAGAAAAAAATCGGTCTCTGAGTTATAAACACCGGAAAACCTGAAAGGGTAAGGAGCTCGGTTTTTTGTAGCGTACTCGGTTATGGTAGCGAACTCGTGGTCAGCTGAGGTAACGAACTCAGCCTATGTTAGGTTTTATTTTGCATTTTATATGGCTAGGCGTTTTTAATCATTTTCCATTAGGTCACCATTAGGTCTGTGTTAGTTCAGGTTACGGTTTATTTGTGCATCTATGTATATTGAGTTTGCGTAATTATACTTTAAGTGACATGCAATCGCTGAGCATTTCGCTTCGTTTTGCCTCGATTCGCGTCTTTTTTGCTTCTTTTATACTTTGTTTATTCGATTGATTAGTTTTCGATGTTGAAAGAAGTTAACGCGTAAAGACATTGTGACTACACCCTTCCCAAAAGGAACAAATTTGTACTTCAGATCAGATATACTATGTTCAGATATAGTATGTTCAATTCGAATATGAAATTCGTGAATAGTCTGTGTATTAGGTCCGTTTGTTACTGTTATGAGAAATAATAACGGAATTCGAGAGAGGCCCTAAACTATTAAGAAAATTTACCTCTAAAATCGGATAGTTTATCACGGCAAATTCTCTTACTTACGTGGGAACACTGCCTGAGCTCCTGTCGTCGCGTATCATGATTCTACTGGAAGACCAGATCTCCTTTATATTGCCTGATTTTGTGCAAACCTCCTCTCTTGATATCGAAAATGTTGAATAATCTTTCCTCTCTTACAAAGAACAACACAACATTGGACAAAGAGAGAAAAATTGTCTATGAATCTTGCTTTCAGTAATACCCATGGCGATATATATGAGTTATTGACCAAGCTTGAGGTCAAGATGCTTGGATATTAGCTCGACGTTGCAGATATGTCACGAATTTAAGAAAATAAACGACATTTTTTAAAAACATGCTTCGAGAGTTCTTCTGTCATCTTCTGTTCTAATTCATACAAAGTAGAAAGTTGATTTTGAAGTGAATCTACACTTTAAATTCAACTTCATACCTTGTACAAATTAGAACTGAAGATGACAGAAAAACTGTCGAAACATGTTTTCAAAAAAATGTCGTATATTTGCTTTAACACAGGATTCACTTCATATTTACAACGGGCGCTGCCACTTCGCTGTAATAATTTCAAATATGCCCCCGACTAATTTGCAAGCGTGGGCAAGTGCCGACTTTCGAGTAAAAATAAAAATTCAGTTCTATGATGCTGTCAGCCACAAACAACTTGAATAGACTGTGATGGCAATCTTTTCGCTCCCCTACAGTTTTGATAAGAGGCTTTTTCCACTGTCACTGTTTCCAGTATGAAGGTAATAGTAGCACTAAAATTTGGCTTACAGGAACGGAAAATCGTCACGATTTCCTAGTACACGGGGATCTACTCCTATGGCCTTTATAGGAATGTTAAAGCGGATTACTGCATCGTGAGAAAAGCGATTGAGCGTTCATTTATTTGTATAAAGACATTGACACCAACAATATCGAAACAGTCTTTCATTCTGGCTTGGCTTGAGATTGGTAGTTGTGATAAGAAAATCTTTGCAATGTACTTGTTTATAAATTATCTAGCACGTGTTTTTATTAATTTACAAATAATACAAATTACACTATTGAAACAGACTCAAGTAGCAGAGAAGTGTTTCCTCGAAGTCAAGAGATTTCAATTTGCTTACGCAAAACAGGAAATGTTTCAAAATCGATAAACGATTCTCTGTGAAAAAGGCGTCTGCTGCTACAGCTTTTTCATTAACGACATCAAGTTACATTATAAGCGACGCTTTTGATTCAAATTTTTAAGACAGTGAGAAATGATCGCCTTCTTAATAGGCGCCATGAGCAACAGAGAACTAATAGCGTTCACTTAGCAAACAAATAACAGAAGGAATTATAGAAACAGCCGAACAATCATACCAAGAACAACCATTCAAAGGACAGTAATTAATGATCAATAGGCTAACTTCGAGACACAAAACGCATTTGTTTGAAAACGAGTAAAGAAGAAAAGGCTAGTTTACCCTAATTTAAATGTGCACTTGGCCTCAATCGAGATTATGCTGGATGAATGTCAAATGTATATTGTCAGTTACTACAGAACCGCATAAAATTTCCTCTTTCGGAACGATGCAATCTAAATGGTCAAAATCTCGCGCAGCGTTATTTTTACAGTAAAAAAAATAATAATTGCAGCAATTGAAAAAACACAGTTTCGTCCGCGACCAAAATAAACCACTTTCATTTTAGCCCTCCCTGCTAAAAGAAAAATTTTCTGCTAGTTTTTCATCATCAACTTCACTTAAGTATCAAATCTGGGGAGGAGTTTGAACGAAAACATAATGTTTGTCAATGATAAGTTCTTACCTTTTGCCAACGAAAACTTAGTTTTCCCTTTTGCACCGAGAGAACCCTGAACCATGAGTTGAAAAGCTCCTACATTTCGAAAGGACGTCGACGTTTATTTGAATTGTAGCATGGAAAATCGGGTTAAATTTCCATGCAGTGCGTATTTTGCTACTTAGGAGTTAATGCGAGATGATAAAGAGTTCTATGGTTAAAAAATTTGTTTATTTTTGCATCCGCTTTCACCCTTTGATTATTCCCCTACTAGGTCATTTTACCAAATAAGGTCATAAGAACACGCAAAATGCGTCGGTCGGAAAGCGAAGCAACAAAATGGTTGCACTGAAAGATTCAGTGAGATGAAATAGTCTTGAAATAATAAATGCCTTATTCAATGGTTTAACATATAATACGAGCGGACATTTTGCTCATTGCTCGCATTTTTGCACGCTCCTATCGCTCGAAAAAATATTACGTATCTACTTTTGTTACCCATGTTGTTGGAAAATATTACGGTTACAAAATAATGATGGCAATGATGATAATAATACAGTAATGGGAGCAACAAAAAGAATACTTAACATGATGAAAGATGATATATTGATAATGATTATGGTATAAAAGAAAAGAGCAGTTTTCCAACCGGTTTTTCCACTTAATTGCTGTGGACGGACCTAGTTACACTTGAGTAAATAGGGATGATAAGAACTGAGAGGGAAAACGTATTCTCTTTGTCTTTAGTCAGTACTCTTTTATAAAAATTCAATCATGGTATGGTACAAGACTGAGGCTAAATCAAAAACATGATTAAAACTTGATGAAAGAAAATAGGAATGTGCTTAATGAACTTTCTAGCTAGGCGCGACTCTGTGGCTTTCAGTCCAAATTCATGTCTTGGCTAAGAAATATTGTTGTTCATTAAGTTCAAGTGATATTGTTCCATGCAGTTTCCCTTTGAACTTTTGATAGTAATTGATCAGATAACTATTTTGTATGGAAGATAAATCACTCGGACGCGAATTTTGAAAATTCTCATCGAGTGGAGAGTTATATTGCTCTCTGGATTTTGATGTAAACAAAACGTTTTCTTTAGCTTAATTCCTTAGCTGCTCAATGCTTCACGGTTTCCAAGATGATGGCAGGTTTCACAAAGAGCCAAATTCCTCTAGCAGGAACATACGTAATTGCATTTTAGTCTTGAAAGAGCTATTTTGATTCGTTTCTCTCAGCATTTACTCAAACTATCACTGTAGTCTATGATCCAGCGTCTTAGCAATGCCTTATTCAGGGCTCCATCGTGTTTATAATGAAGTTTGAAGGAGTGGATAAACGCCAAGGTTTTGTCATATAATCTCCAGAAGCGCTCAGACTGTTTGTCCTTAGAGTACCCGGGCATGTAGATCCCAGGAATGTACTCAAATTTCTCTGCCCTGTCAAGCATCCGGCACATTGTAGGGACTGCAATTTCTAAGAATGAACGATGCTTGTAGAAAATATAAGATAGTGTTTTAAACGCATCCGCGAATTTACCGGGAATGTAAAATATGTCTGAGCGACCTCGAAAACAGGGAAAAGTCCCATTCCCGTTATCTTTCAAAATATTGATCGACTCTTCTATGTTCCATGTTGACTTAGAGGAGCGAACTTTTCCATAACTCATCTCAGGCAAACGTTCAAAATAAAACAATTCTCGCAAAGCCCAGATTTCATTATAGGCCTCTTGACAAGCTTTCTTTCCCCACTCGGAATTCCACCAAAACCAATTTTCAGGAATAGTGTTGTTCCTTTTTACTGGTATTTTAGCTCCTTCCCAGATTTTGTCTCGGTCCATATCAACTAGATTCCAATAGTTCAAGAGTACGTCGTCGCTGATGAGTAAATATCCTGTACGTCCCGGATGTTTTTCTATCGCACGTGACATGCACCTATAGGAGAAATATCCTCGGTGAATTTCTAAAGCCTCGACATTGTGTTTCCTTGACTTCTTCGGTCCGCAAAACATGATCGTAGGAAATGCATTCTTGTAAAGGGCAGAGAGTAAAGGGATACTGGAGTAGAAAGGATAGTTGTACACAATCACAAGCACAATGTCTGAAAATGCATTTCGTAGGCAGGCATGCTTAAGGTCATTGCGTACTGGTAATAGTTCCCTTGTTACCCGACAGTTATCAAAAATTGGAATCAAGCCTGTTGAACGGAAGATAAATGTGAAAATTTAAAACAAAAAATAAAACAAGAAATTAAGTTTTTCCGCATTTCAATCGAGAATTAAAAGAAGGCTTAAGAACCAATAGACAATTCATTTGAGGCGAGCTGATGAGAAATAATTAACCTATCAAATACAAAAACCCATGATCAACTAAATGTTTTTCCCTCCGATTTGCCATGTATATGCCTCATGAGATGTTCTATCAACTGATACGTTTGTCTATTCTTAAAACCTATTGTTGTTTGGCGAAGAAAGATATATGGCTGAAGGAAATGACTTAGATGGAATTCTATCTTTTCATGACTTGCAAATACACACCGTTAATTCTCCTCAATGAAACAAGAATTCAAACGCGTCCTCATTTTTTTCCAAACACGTATTTGTGCTTAATTTTTACCAGACAAACAGCTAGGTAGCTCCCTAGCATATGCACATACACAAGTGCGCAGGGTGTCAACTTGATAGACAATTTCTTTCTAGACGACGCAGAAGTTTCGGTTCATCAGTGGTAAGTGACTTGTCTTCTAAGGGCGGGTTAGGGAAAGGGATGGAGGG